CAGAGTCTCTGAGATTCACGGACAGATCTTCACACTTCTGAAACGAATCTAACGACCAAATGAATAAATTGTTTCCTGCAAAAGCCCCCTCCCATTTTGCTCCTCTTTTATTTCCTATGGGAGGGGCCTTAACTTCCACCTGTGGCTTTACTCCCAAGGCTACCCTGATTTCTGAGCTGTTCTTTTCTTCTGGCAGCTCTGTGCATGCGGACACTGGGAACAGGCTCCTCCTGTTCCTCTGCCTCACTGCTGTCTAGCTCTTCCATCCTGGTGATGCCTTTCAAAGTTATCTCACACCTGACATTTGGGAGTTTTATGATTGGACTGTGTACGGGATGCCAAGGGGAGGGGAATGAAATATACAATATATTATTTGCTTCCGCGCCTAAATAACCAGACTTCGCTTAGCTTCGCTTCTAATCATTTATAATTAGTAAAAGTACATTTGATCTCTACCAATGGAGTCCTGTGGTTTTCTCTCCTGATTTTTGAATGAAGAAGGATCTGACAACAATGGCAAGCTGCTTCTGAAAATGATAGGGAGTAACCCAAATGGTCACCAGGAGTCAAGACTGATTCAAAGGTGCACATGCACCTGCACATGCACCCACAGAAAGAGAAATATTATGCCTATAAGAAAAGAAACTTTTTAATATTTTATTTTTATCTGTAGGTACAACAAATCCCATGCTTTGCTTATTGAACAAGGATTACAGAAGAACAAACTTGCTGAAATTGTGAGAGAGTCTGATGTTATGCTTAAGTAAGCATCTATTTCTGTAATCATAAAACACATCAGAAATCAAAAATTGTGTGAAATGTTATATATTTATTTATGCTCCATTGTGGACTTGCTTTTGCACTTAGTGGTGATGAGAAAAGTGCTTCAATTTGATTGCCTCTTTCCAGAGGTGGTATTCACTTACTGGTTCCCTACTGGTTCGCAAATGTGAGCGTGTGCATGGGCTCAGCCTTCCATGCATGCACTTTGGCTTGAAAACATGCCTAAATGGAACCACATAGAACCGGGACAAATGGGTTGACCGTGATTTCCACTACTGGTTCAAGCAAACCGGTCAGAACCGGCAGAATACCACCTCTGCCTCTCCTGTTGTAACTCTTGTATAGTACATATTGAGCTTCTTACTATATCAGAACACTAAAAATGTTTCATATCACAGTGGTTGCATTGTTACGTTATGTTGTTACGATAAATGAAGATTTGGCTATATTTGAAAATATGTATTTGTATATATGAGAATCATTTTGTATATATAAGAGTCAATCACTTTCTGCTTGCTATTCACTTTTTATAGTAATGTAATATAGAAGATTCTATTTCTTCTTTTAGCTTATATGGCAGTCATGATCTGAAAGTCTAATCATTACTGATCTAATAGTAGTACTGCATCTTACAAAAGTCTTTAAAATATTTCTTTTTCCTTCATTGGGATATATAAGAATTTGATTATCTGCTTTTTAGCCTACTTCAACAAGACTGGGAAAAAAACAAAAAAACAAAACAAAAAAAACCCCAAGGCTGTAGCCATGTTCTTTCTAGGTGCTGCACTATTATTGCATGTACTCAGACCCAAGAAAAAGGAAAGCAGATATTGCACAAGAAAGGTTTTTTTTTCTGTTCTGCCTTATCTCTATAAGCAAGGTACAGAAGATCCATTCTGGATTTCTGGGATTTCTGTTTCACCCTTTTCAAAGGCAGTGATTTATTTTTCCTGGAATCACTTATATATCGAAATAAATATGAGTATGTGTACAAACCAAAGTTTTTCAACTAATTTCCAGAATAATCCATAAAACATTTATTTTAAAAATAAAATATTCATAAAATATTGAAGTCTTGGCTTCATAAATAATAAGTCAGTTACTACAATCTTGTTTAATCTGAAACTGAGAATAGGAGTTATTCAATTATTATTTCAGCTAAAAGAAATACTGTCAGATTTTAATTCAAGTTTTTATAAATAATTATTCTGTTTTACAGAGAGGGATATGAATTTTTTTTTGACAAACTTCAAGAACACAATATTCCAGTATTTATATTTTCTGCTGGGATTGGAGACATCCTGGAACAGATTATTCATCAAGAAGCTGTCTACCGTTCCAATATCAAAGTAGTTTCCAATTTTATGGAGTTTGATGATAACGTGAGTATAAAAATGTCAAATATAAAGTGCAATTATAATTACATTATCATTTACTAAGGTATATAAGAATCAATCCATGTGAAAATGTTACATACATATTTCTGATTTAGAGTTATAATTATATGTTTCACTTGATAGGGCCAATATTCTTAGAATATATTAATTAGTTTGCAAATTAGTTAAAATCAGGATGAGGGGAATGGAAACTCTCTTATTTCTATTTAATCTCTCAAAAACTCTTTTTTTTTACATTTTATTGAATTTTTAGTTTTAAATATACATCAATATCAATATATAAACAGTGTGGCCTCTGGGTATAATTTATCTTGATACAAATAGCATAATAATAATAATAATAATAACAACAACAACAACAACACTGGTTGAGAAAAATAAGGTCACAATCATAGACATC